GGTAGCAGCGGAGTGCGCCGTCTTGCTTGATGGCCTCTGCCTTCCAGGCCTCGTAGGTGTCAGGGAGCATGTCCTTTCGGTAGACCGCGTTCGTAACGCCCCGGAGCATACAGTTCTTGGCGACGCAATAAGGTTAATGTCGTCGTAGTGCGACTTTGTTGAGAGAGTCGAGGACCGTGAAATAACTAGTCGCGTCCATGTCTTTGGTCTGGACGAAGGTTTCCATCTTCTGCTGCGCGATTTCGGGCGTGAGCTTCCCCGCGGAAGGCCGCGATGAAGGCTTTCTCGAAGCCTTCGTGCGTAGTATAGGCTGCGGCGGTCACGGAGCTTCATGGCTTGGGAGACGTTTTCCTTCCACGTGATCGCGTTCCCGCCTTTGATATAGGAGAGTGCGTGAAAATCTTTTGCACCTCGTCGTTGTAAACATTCGGGTTGGCTTCAAGGCCAACCAACAATCGGCCAGGAAGGCGTCTACTTCGCTGGCGTCGCCCGTGAACTCCTTAGGGGAGAGACGGTTACTCGTGTATTTCCCCTGTGGGGCCGATGAGCCAAGTCCTCTCTGGCTTGGCAGAGCAGATCGTAGCTCTGCATGACTCCCTGCTGTACAGCTGCGTATTCCCCTTTACTCGGGACAGCTCGGCCTCGAGGACCACTTGTCGATTCGTCAGGGCGGTGTTTTCCGCCTTGAGTTGCTCCATCTCCTGACTCGTTCGGACAGATGGGCGAACAGGAACTCCTGTTGTTCGTTATGGCCCAGGGCCATAAATCGGGCACGTTCGTCCTCCTGGCTTGCGGGGGTGCCCATCGTACTGTCGTGCTCGGTAGACATTTGTCGCGCTTCTTGCGTTCGTGGGGGAGGCTAATATTCTGTCAACGTCGGGCTCGGGCCGTATCGGGCGTCGGGGGGTCCGACTTGAAGGGGTCTGAGGAGCACGAGAGATGGGTATTCGCCCGGAGAATAGACGATATTAGCCTAGCGACTACATCTTGTAAGTACGACTTTTATATGCTACGGTATTAGGGATGGATCGGATGGGCGCCAGGTCCCAGGGCGGATCGGATGGGCGCTGCGTAGGGCCGTAGGGGTGAACGGAAGGGGTTGGAAGAATGAGGGGACGTCCAGGAGGACGGCGGTATACGGGCCCGTGCGGCCTTATGGCCCGGACGGCCCGACCCGAACCGTGACACAACGTTAATTTACAAACTGAAGTATGTGATAATACATCAAGGTATTTATAGTGTGAGAAGTAACGGAAACGGAATAAGGTATAACAAAGTAAGTAACAAGATTAGAACAAAGTCAAGTAAAGTAGAAGAGGAGTTGCATATGAGGAACAAGGCATAGATGATTGCATAGATCATAAGTCGGGGTAATTGGAAACGCTCAGTAAATCTTCATTGCGTAAAAACCAAATACCGGAGACGGATATCGGAGACGGATGCCGGAGTCGGCACGGATATAACAGTTACAATGCTAAACTATAAGCTACCCGCCCCAGTATCAGTCTACTACTAGTAAGCCCGCGCAGCCAACAACTGTGCATGCCCATCCACCCCTGATGCGAGGACAGGGCACAGGGAGCTGGGTACCCATTGCGCAGGAGCTGAATGCCAGATCAACAAACAATAGATGCTAAAATGGACCACAAACCTCAGCGCAGATTGAATGCTGGTCTGCTAACCACCCAAAAATGGTCCCGGTCACAATGGGTTTGACGGTACATATGCCACGGGCCCAGGTATTAGTAGAGCGTAATGCCAGAGTGTTGATTATGTGAGCCCGAAGTGTATTAGTAAAGTATTACAGATACATCGTAGATATTTGTAGAATATTCTAGATACTTCCTTGTAGTATATAAAGGGTTCAGAATTTGTTCAGAATAGCTGAACCCTTAGTGTTTACAACAATTAGCCTAATAGCTGGAGTACACAAGTCTATTTGACAAGTCAATACTCAACACAGAGGGCTGGCCATGTGTGTCTACCAAGACGGAGAGAGAGTGGAACTCGCTGCCGTTGCTGTCAGCCAACTTGCTGGGTTGGTGGGTGCGGGGATGTAGGACGAATATGGCCGGGTCCCACTTGGGCAGGATACCGGTGTGGAAGTAGGGTGCTGTGAGTAATGCAAAAAACATTACTCACACCGGTTTCGAAACCGGTTTCGAAACACCCCCCGTTTCGAAACAGTTTCGAAACCGGCCGGCCGGGGGGGTCCGCTGACAGTCGGCGGCTCGGGACAGCGCCGGGTATCACAATCCCGAGGCACACTATGCGCCAAGCCCAACTGGAGCAGCAGTGGAGCCCCACTGCCGTGAACACCCATCTGCCCGGCCTTCCGCCAGTAAGTGCAGGTGATATTGGGAGGGCATCAAGCCCTGACAGCCGGGCCCGGGCTTGCCGGAGAATCACGTGTCGGTTTCGAAACCGGGTCGGCCGGCCACGGCATTCAAAACTAACACGTGTTTCGAAACCGGTTTCAAAACCGTTTCGAAACCACAGTTACTCACAGCACCCTAGTGTGGAGGGGATGCAGTATAGAGAGACGCACTGGAGGCTGCTGTTCTGGGTGGCTTGAGGGCTGGATAGTGGGGGAGGAAAGAAAAGGTGAGGTGACTGTGACGTCAGCAGCATAGTTGTCAGACTGCGGGTCGGGCCGTGCAAGGGCTTCTCCTAAGAACGCGCGCCCGGAACAGAACAGACGGATAGTCGGGCCCGCAAGTACGGCGGGCGGTGTAGATCGAAACCGAAAGGGCCCGTGAACTCGGTCCCTTGTCGTAGTCGGTGGTTGATGGTTCGAATCGGGTCGTGTCGGGCCCGATGAGTCGATAGCGTCTCCTCGCACGGAGTAAGGTAGTTCTTCAGACGATCTAAGCGATAGAGTACAAGGTACACTATCGCGCATTATATACGCGGGCCCGCAAAGGGGGTGATCGGACACCCTGGCCTCTCCTCCTCCTCCTCGCTCCCGTTCCTGGCCGCAGAGGGGACGATCGCACATCCCTTGCGGGCCAGGCGCTACTCCTGACCTCCTAGCACTCCTCCCCAGTCCCCTGGTGTCGAAGTTGGGCTCGGCGACGGCCTAACGCGTCGTTCTCGGTCACGTGCTTCCCACGTGTGCGTTCCTCCTACTGGGGCGCATGTTCCCCGTCGTCACGTGCTGCGTGTTACGGGCCCCCAATGGCCCGACACCAGCGCCGGAGCGGACGGGCCGGGTCTTATCCGTGACAATAGTAACAGAAAATTTGTTGTTGCCTGATGGCAAATCTGTATCAAATCTGCTGTTTCACCTGATGGAATGACAGTTTTGCCAAGTGATTACAACCGCAATAGGCCTAAGTTTGACATAGACCCGGCCCTAAAGTTACAATCTGGTGTCTATACAATCTATTGTGGTGTTCAAACTTCCAAGATATAGTTGGAGTATAGTGATTAGAGTAACACTGCGATAACTATGTAATTCTATATTATATATCCAGGTGAGACTTACTGGCACCAAGCTGGCAACATTTGCCATTCTGGAGCCCACTGGCTCCAGTTCACCCAGTATCCCAGTTCTTCTAGCTCCAGCCAGTAAATTTGGGTTTTCCTGATGCAAATATAGTCTGATTCAAACATACAGTCACATACTTTGAATCAATGTTATATGTAATTACTCTTATATTAACCAGATGTTGTGTGAATGTATGCACATGTTTGGCACTGACCTCAGTAATTCATTTGCTCCATATTTCCTTTTTTGGGGTCACTGCTGTTAAAGCCCCAAATTGGGAACAAAAGCTGTAAAATGTGACCAATCCTAATTGGGATACAAAGCTGTACATGATATCTTGCACCAGCACTGTAAAACATTATATCTCGGGCTATTTACTATGCTGAAACTTAAGTGTAGGAACTACTCTCACCAAACAATAACTAAGTATATAATGAAGTTTATTAACTTGGGTTGCAATGATAATAGTAGACTAGGAGGGTTATTTTGCACCTATGTGCTATTCTGTAATTAGTGGGTCTTTTTTTAGATTAGAAATTCACTTAATTTAAGTAACATTCAAAGCTGGGGCGTAGCCCCAGCCCTGTCTAGTCTATTATATAGTGATTTCAGAAAGCAATACATTACTATTAAGTACTATAGTAGAACTCAGTTTCAACAGTAATCACTTTGGAATCTCTCTGCTGAACATAGTGTAGGTGTCACAAACAACACCAAATCAGAGGATGTGTCAAACCCTGGGTTCAAGAAACCTTTTTCTTCGCCCTTTAAACCGTTTATTTTGGCCCTGGTTGATAAGATAAGACAAGGAGGAGATAAGATGGATGATAAGATGGTGATTGGATCATCAGATGTCGATGCTGATGTTGATTGACAGCGTGAAGTTGGACATGAGACAAACAGCACGTAAACGTATGGCTAAAGTATGATGTCATTGCCTCTCATATTAGACATGGTAAACACATGGTAGTAGTGTATATAAGTAGAGTAGATTTTGTCTTGTACCCCAGTCTTCGAATTGCATCATCTTTACGATATCTTTTCACGGTGCTTCTTGCTTGCCTTCACTGGACTGTAAGGGTGACCCTTACAGTCTTAGAGCAAATTTTCCAGTGGCAACTAAGTCAAATTTCTATGGAAATAAGCATATTAGATAGTTGAATATATTCATAACATAATGATATTTTTCATCTGAATATGATTATACTATACTACAAATGAATGATTGTGTTGAGACTCTGAATATGTTATGATTATAATATATTATCCCTCAACCATAATATAATTATTAATAGCAGTCAGTACTTTCAAGTAACAATTGCAACCGGGAGCCCTTGAACGCCCAAAGCCTGAGGCCCGAAGCCGAATCCCATTGTTTCATATCACATCTAGTCCTTGCCGACCTCAGCAATTTTCTGACATGAACAATATTTCCAGTTGCATGTCTTCTGGCGCTAGGTACTAATAACTAATACTACACAGTTCGTGGTATCAGAACACAACGGATATCCTAGTGATGCCAGTGGCTCTCGCAGTCCGCGTCGTCCGCCTTGGTGTCCGAGCGCATCGCCATGACCAGTCCCTTATGCTCATTCGACCGGCGCCCGTCTCCCCCGGCGGCAAGCGACCCCGATAAGAACCAGCCGGGATGGACGAAATTCCACGTGAATATGGCGAGCACGATCATGGCGCCGTCGAGGACGTTGAAGTAGAGCTCGGTGCGGATGACGCGGCCGTGCCAGCCGCCGGCGAGCTCGATCATGCGGTAGACCGAGCGGATAAACAGGACAGTGGTCGAAAATCCGAGGGCGGCGAGGACGGCGGCCAGACGGCGGGTAAGCGGGCCCCGCGTCGGGCTATTAGAGATGCCACCCGGGAGAGCTGTAGACCGCCATGGCGCGTTGCACAGGTACCGCACGACGAAGTCGGCTGCAAGAAGGCTGAAAAGGACGATGACGGCTGATGCAAGTCAGCTCGGTTTGAAGAATGCAAAGAAAACGTTACCAAACTGGAAGCCAATACCGCCGAGCATGATGTTTGCGCCGCGTTGAGCAGCGACGCGGTCCTGCGCTGCAGCAGCAATGCCACCTCCGACACCTTGAACAACGAGAGCGACGGCGTCGCACGGGACGAAAACCCAGGCATCTGATCACTCGTGAGTGGGACTTCGGAGGAGAAAAAAACCAATGCAGCGCACACCAGCGAGGGGGGATCAAAGAATAGGCAGGTCCCAGCTGCACGATGACTTGCGAGAATATTATGAAACTCGCGGCCAGCAATGGAGTCGGAGCGATGATTGTTGCCGATATCCTGGAAAGTTTGAGACACGAATTCACAGGGCGTGTGGGTGCGACAGACTGCATCCTAAATGGCTCGGTCGCATTTGGTGATGTTGCACTCCAAAGGCGGGCACCCCACCCAATAATCTCGCCGATGCCGCAGAGGACGGCCGTGGGTAGCAGCCACCACAGGCGGAAGTAGACAGCTTGGGCGGTGTGAAGAGCTAGAAGGAAGTAAAGGTCAGCCAGATCAAGCGGGACGAGATGGAAACGGACCTGTGCTGACTCCAAATAATGCGATGAAGATGATCGCAATGGACTCTGACGGAATGTATCCGTATGCGAACTCGGCGACGGTCAAGTGCGGTGGCCGTTCGATTTGACGGATCACAAGAGTCGATGAAATAGCTGCAGGACGTGTAAGCGAAAACGAAGTGCAATGCACGGGACCCACTCATGACCGCGACGTGAATAAGACAAACTGGGGGAATATTAAAAAATGGGGGTGAACGTGAAGGGGAATGGGCGGAAGGGCCGTGTTCTTTTAAAAGGATTATTTCGCCAATATCCCTGGTGCTGCTTTGCCGCAGGCCAAGAATAGATGACATTTTCCTGCTGACTTGCTTTTCGGAGTTAAGGGTTAAACCGCAGTTTGGTTGCAGTGGACTGGACCATCTAGCACCGCCGGAAAGGCCATTCGGATAATTCAAAAAAGCACTGGCAGTGGCAGAGCGTTCTAGGGAAAATCTGTGTTGTGAATGGCTGCGAACGGAGGAAAGAAGTGCTGGGCGGAGATGTCTCAGGGGCTACTTAGCTGAGTCGTGTCCCTTTATGACCTAAGTTGCACAAAACCTCTCGGAAGAGCGCTTCCTGCCCGTTCTGGACACCGTTAGTGCGCCATTTCAGCAGCAAGCTTGTCCCCGTACAGCCACCATTGACTACCACATCGACAAACGCCGAATATTCATCAAGAAACGACTCGCGGCTCCGCAAGTGCCAGTGGACCACCTTCTTGAATAGACATTGGCCATTTCTTCGTCTTCCAAGATCAATAGACAACTTGCGTTGGTCGATACGCGCTATGCTGGCGGCAGACCATTCGATGATTGCGTTGACTTGCTCGAACCGTGAAAATGCCTTCTCAAACTCGCGCTCGACGTTTCCTGGAAGCAGGTCGCCGGACCCAAGCTGGCGAACAACCGAGTGGCTACGAAGGTTAAGTAAAACTGCAGTGTCGACTTGAGGGCGAGAAGGGGCCGGCAAGAGTGAATGTGGGTCCTCCGTCGAGCCTGAGATCATCCTCCTGGCATTGCTGCTCATTTGAGAAAGACGACCAACTTGAATGCAGGTAGGTAGGCTTGCACACCTTGCAAGTCATATGTCCACACGGAATCTAGCTCCTCGTAAGCATTGCCACCCAACAAGTCCCTTTCGCCGCATCCCAAAACGCAGACTCCCGCCGCGAGAAATCCAAAGCATCCAACCTTGCCAGACAACCGTCGACGCCGGCGTTATTGCGTCGGGGGCATCGAAAGGTCGGTCGCATTTGCTGCCTACAGTGCGATTCTCGGGAGACGAAGGAATCACTGAATCGCCCCAATTGATACTTGAGGTTTTTTTGGCTAAAAACTTAAAACGGATTCAAAACTTGCACCTTAACATGGTTTGAGTGTGGTGAAACGACTGCCCCAGTCATAAAAGGAGCGTACACGAGTTGCCTAAGGTCTTGTCGTAGCTGGTGAGGATGTTCAGAACAGGAACATGGATTTTGAAGAACCGGAACCAAAGTAAAAGTGTGACCGTCGTGACCCGTCTCTCGGCAAATATTTCCTCGTTGTGGTTACTTGAAGTACTTCCAGTTGAGGTTTGCTCTGAATATACATAGATAACAGCAAGAGAGGTAGAGAAAATGAGACTTAATCGATAGCCTGAGGTACTAGTAGTGCCAACAAATAATACCCAAAAAACCCAAGAAAAAGAGAGAGAGATTGATGATAGTAGTGACAATGTACGCGATCAGGAGTAGATATTCTATACCGGGTCGTCAGCGTTATCTTATCGAAGTGAGCGCCGGGGAAGGACGGAGAAAATCAGCACGACTGTCCGTCCCGAGATCCGGCGGTGAGCGAGGGGAAGCACTGGCACGAGGCAGGAGAAGTGTTTGCGGCGGCCGAGATATCGGTCGACGAGGGTGCGGAGTCTTTGAAACACCTGTTTGGCGCGGCTCGACACGTCGCATTATCGACGAGCAAAAGAGTAAGCGCGCCTTGGTTGTAAGTGGATTTTTGTCCCGTGTTGGACGTCTGACGGCTCAGCGGCTGCCCGTGAAGTGAAGGTTTTGACGTGTAATGAATGGAATGGAGGGGCCCAAGGGAATAGTTGGATGCGGTGTAACAGTGTTGAATGATGACAGATATGCGAGGAGGGCGGAAGGGGAAGGAGATTTGGAGCTGATCAAGGTGGCTCACGATGTGAACCTGCGTTGCATCCCCGGCCTGTTGGAGGATCTCCAAGCAGCTTCCCACTCCATTAACGCCCTCGCAAAGCCCGGATTGGGCTTCACACAGGCCCGCTTGCGCTTGACGTAGGCCAATGCAGAATCGTAGGTCATCCCATGGTTTCGTATGAGAAACGCGATGACGATGGCACTACTCCGCGATATACCCTTGAAAGTTTGCTATTTAGCGATCTGAAAAGAAGGATAAAGCTGCAACATACCTGCTGGCAGTGGATCAAGACGCTACTGCCGGTCCGGAGACTGCGCTCGATGTACTGACACGCGCCTTCAAGATAGGGACGCAAATCAACATTTTCTTTGTCTCTGATGTCTATTCCATAAGACGTGTCGTCTGCGCGGCATGGCGGGGCCCAGGCGGCCTCGATAACCTGAACAAAGTGGCGGATGTTATGTTGGCGAAGGAGTGAAGGGTCATTCATGGCAGTCAAGCCACCCAGATAAAGAGCTCCGGACATGGGAGGTTGTTGCTGTTGGGAGTGAGAGTATGGCGCGTATGGCGAAGCAGAAGACGGGTGAGATGATGAGGAGGCGGTGGGGAGCGCAGCGCGGGGCAGAATCTCGTGCATCGGCGTGCACATCGCCTGCATTACTTCCGGCGGCATGTTGTCGAACCGAATCATCTTGGTCCCAACGCCCCAAACGACGACGGAGAACGAAAGGAAGAAGAGAGTGGAGTGGGGTGCCTTGCGAGAAGAGATGGAGTGATGGATGATGTCATCGATCAACCTTCGATCATCTCCCGAAATTAATGGGCGGTCTGGACTCAGGGGCGAAGTTAAATCGCGTTGGTGGCGCGAATCAGTAAATCGTTACTCAGTTCTCTAGTTTCCATCAGGCCTTCCAATCACGCAAGAACTAGAGAGAAGTGGGATATACTGGCCATCGAAAAACAATACTAGTAGTGACTTTCTTCAGAATTGAATCATTTTCAGCTGCCCACCATAAAATGACGCGTGTCTGGACGGAGCCTGGCATTCGATAAGTAGCAGAAGAAGGTTGAGTGGAAGATAAGAAGGCCAATCTCGATTCAGACACATATTTTGTTGACAGCACCAGTCGGAACAGCGATGGCTAGGTCCTATTCGGAGCAAAGGAGACTGGCGGATGGCAGTTCTGTTCTTGTACCTGCTCGTGCCTGTAAGTTGGCCTCCATCATCTGCGTCATTCACGAAACTCGAAAGCAATCAGAAACCACAAGGTAAGTCGCCTGAAAGAAGTTGATAACGTAAGCAAGGTCGTTGATGGGGCTCAAATTCCATTCAGCAAGCACTTAAAACAGTGGGATGTTCCTACATGTATTGATCACATACTTTACAGATATCCGGGCCCACGGACTTGATTCATTCACCAAACACCTAATCAGTCCATCTCTGCGGCTCCGCCTGCTCCCAAACTTCCTGGATCCTCCCCAGTGTTTCCTCAAGTCCCCGTCGTCGTGTACTTGGACTAGTCGTGGTCGTGCCCAAGCTCGTCCGCAGACTGGAGCCCGTCCGATCCACAGCCATACTGTCAGAAGAAGTGATCTTGCTCATCAAGACCCTCCTCCCCTCGGCAGACTTGACATCCACCAGTTCCGGCGGCATACGCTCGTTCTCGATGTCGACCTTGCGGCTGTTTGTACGGAGGACATGTCAAAGAGTAAAGGAGGCGAAAAAACAAGTCTACGCACGCTTCCTCGAAGGTCAAACCCGCTTCACTCTGCCCGAAGCCTTGGTCAAGCGGCAGCCCAAGGCCAGCGAGGGTTCCTGACGGAAGACGGCTCGAGCCCGTGATACTTTTGAGCTCGGAAACCTTCTCTGCTTCTTCGCTGTCGACAAGATTTATTGATAGGCTTAGCACTGGAACGAATAGAACTCACCGAAGTAGCGAAAACACCCGTGCCATCCTACCGACGGCCCGAATCTTGTTACGAATAACGTTTCGTCGCTGGACATCTGTTGGCGTCGTCGGTGAGTGTGAAGATGCTTGGTTGTCCTCTTCGAGTAGTTCTTCCTGAGTGCAGGTGTTCAGCACGGCCACTAGCATGTCGGTAACTGCAGCATGTTCTCAGCAGGATAACAGTGAAAAACTTCACATACTCTTCTCTCCGACGAAGGGCAGGCTCCACGTAAACACATCCATGAAGTTGGGCAGCCAAAACGGATGTGGACTGCAGCTGAATTGGAGAAGATTGACTCCATTGTTCTCATATCTGTCCCAAGCGTAAGGGTCAATAGGCAAAAGACCATCTAATACACATACTTGAATATTGCGCCTTTGTTGTTATGAAAGTCAAGGTAATTTGGTGCCGAGAACACGGTTATCACAGATGGAAACTTGGAACGGGGAATTTTGCGGTAAAGGCGGAATCTATTCAGAGTTATTCCAAACTTTGGAGCAAAACAGGACTTGCCCCGCAGCTTGTGGCTCGTGCGCTCTAATGATGCATAGCAATTTGTTCCGTTCCAAGAATGTAGAGACCGCATTGTAACTGCGAATGGGTCAGAAAAATTGTTGAGTCAAGGCAAGCAAGTGCCAGGGTGTGTACGTAAAATAATAAGAGCAACCTCGAACGTGGTTGTGGAGGAAGTTTTCGTCCGTTTTCCGGGTATCGAAGTTTTCGGCAGGATCCGCCCAAAGCAGGTCGCACATCAGCCCCCGAGTGGGAATCTCGCGGAAACGATCAATCTGAGTTAGTCAGTTTCGGCGAACTAAAAGAACTTGTGGAAGCCACCGGACTTTGTCTATATCATCGACTGTATCGAGCTCGGGCGATAAGCCCCCGTGAACACAGAAGAACTTCTTGTCGAGAATTGCTGCGAGGGGGAGAGCACAGAATGCGGCGGTACATGCGTCATAGAGGCGCTCAGAGTACTTGTGCTTGCCTTTAAGCTTGTGAATGAGAAATTGGACAAGCAATGAGGTGGCTCACACTCGAGCTTGAAGGTAAAATAGTCGGTCAAATGTCGGCATTCGTGGTTGCCGCGTAACATGAATAGTGTATCGGGATAGCAGATCTTAAGCGCCCAGAGATACAACACCGACTGGACCCCGTTAGGAAGTTACCAGTATATAATGAGGAAACGGACCTCGATGCTGAAATAGCCACGATCGACGTAGTCCCCCATGAAAAGGTATGTCGTGCGAGCGGGATCGCCACCATATTCGAACAGTTTCATAAGGTCATACTAAGGAGGGCGCATGAGCAGAATGAAAAGGAAGTGTGTCGAAACCAGCGCACAAATTGACCATGAATATCTCCACAAACTTTCAGGTCGTCAGTATTGAACGGAGAGCTGATGGAGAGTAGTATCGTACCTGTTGCGTGGCTCCCCAGAGTCAACACGTTGGGCTCTTTCTTCAAGACGAACGCCGCTTGCTCGACAATCCATAACGCTTGCTCTTCGCTCAGCCTCCCTTCGCGCAAGAAATGCTCTTTCAAAAAGACCACATTCGGCTTGCTTTGGTCCCCAGGTGCAAAGAACTGGTCGGCAGCTGGGATAGTGGACACTGGGGCCTGGACCTATACCGACATGTCATAAGCTCCTGCTGTATTTGTGGAACGGCTCACACACACCTGGCCCATAACTCGTTCTTTGGTGTTCACCGTCGTGCCGTCGTGCCAGAGATGCAATGTCGCGATAGAGTCAGACGACGTCTGTGTCGTTTCGCCGCTCATGGGGGCAGAGAAGAGAGCCTTCGATGGGGGGCATAGCTGTAAACGCGGGGTTGTTGCCTGTGCGTGATGATCACTTGCAAAAATGGGCTCTGCTTATGTGAGCCGAATCGCGGTCCCGTGACTGAGGCCACCCCACAAGCGCGTCGATCAATGACGCGGCGATGACCTTGCATTGGCGCTCCATACTTAACAGAACAAATGGGGTCCGATTTCCGCATACTTTGCCCATGTCACCTCCCACCATTCTTCGCCACTCCCGACTGGCCTCTGTCCGGGTCCGCCTGAGCTTGCATCCAGGATCATTAGCACATTGCCATGACGGTCCTCATCACTGGCAGATCGCTCGCCACTCACGTGCAGCACACTCGAAATCCAATTCAGACCAAACGAGTACCAAAGGAAACGGAAAGGAGGCAACGGGGATGGAAGAATATCGCACAATGAGCAAGAAGAACCCGTATCATGCGCCAGGGGAGGAAGAAAGATACGGCGGCAAGGAGCACTATCAGAAGGAGAAGGGGGAAAATCCACAGGAGACGAGCACCAGCAACCAAGGACCCGCAGGTACTGAGAGCGGTGGGAGAAAACCAGAGAGGAGGTAGCTGCACCTGCCAGCCTGCCGCCAGGGTTAAGACTGCATCTGTGAGTTCCAGCTTCAGAAAACCTACACTCCAGTTCTTACATTGAAGTGGAAGAAATACGGGCGAGCCTTGCAGAAAGGTGGCAAATACTAAGCTTTTGAACTCTTGTATTTTAACGTTCCAAACCGTGACTTCAAGTTGAACAAATGACAACTTGTTTCCGTTTAGATTTGACCAGTTCAAGCTGGCTGCTGAGAAGCTCCGTTGTTTCTTCTGACGATGTATGTATTTTTTTTCGCTATAGACCAACAGATAATGATTCGACTATATCTCCCTGAAATTCGTCTAAATACCACCAATAATTTACGAGGGAGGACTGAAAGAAGGCCTCAACATTGGAGAAGAAAGAGCAGCAGATCGACGTACACTGGGGCAACGGAGGTGGCTGGGCCGGGGTCGGCAGTGAGGACTGGGAAGGGGCTGATGTTGCACTAATTCACGAGTCAGAAGTCGGACAGAAAGCTTCTGATGGGCCAACTCACAGCAGGCTGGACATCCCTCATGGTCTTTCCGGCGGGAAGATGCGGCTTTCCGACGAGGGGCTTGGGCACTGGGATGACGTCGGAGCAGTCGATCATCTTGTTGGTGTTCTGTCCGATGACGGCCATCTTCGCCATAGCAGCCTTGAAGGCGGATGTCATGCGCGACTGGCTGGCTGTACGTATAATGAGACCTTTGTCTCTGAGTGAATGAATAGACGCACCGGCGAAAGACTGGAAAGTGCAAGCCGTGCGGGGGTCTGGAGAGGAGAGTTAGCCATGCCGACACTGATATGACCAATCTACTGACCACGCGAGAGCTAAAAACAATCTATGAGTGCGCGCTAGATGGAGAACAACAAGACTTACTTCGAAGTCGGAGTTGAGACGGATCTCTCCCTTGAGTGGCGACATGACCTCTCCTTCGTTTCCGGCAGTCCTGTATTTAGTCAGACAAACTCTTGAGCTATAACATCAACAGCATACCCCGGGAAGAGAGTGCCCTTGAGCTGGGTCTCGATGAAGAACTGAGTGTCAAAGATAGACGGAGTGGATGAGAATGGGGTGCTGAACAGCAGAGTTAGCGCAATCAAAGAGGAGAAGACTGCAAGTACCCAGGAATCTGCGAATGTCTGGTATGAGTATACTATTCACCGTAGATGCTAAGAGGCCTACCGTCGGGTCAACCAGATCAGCAGCTGCGATGGTGTGTCTAAAAGGCGAGTCAATACCGCCGATCACGCTATATCGGATGGACGAACGAAGCCAACAAAGCTACGATTTCAGCCGGAGAGAAGTTGACCTCCTTAAAGCGCTGTATAATCTTGTCAAGCGAATCTTGGGGTTCAGGGACGAGACCGATAGGCGAGGCAGCTTTGGCCACTGGACGACCCATGAGGAATTGGAGACGTGGTGCTCCAGGGCAGTTGCTGACTGCTACGGCACCGGCCAATTGGATACTACAAGCACATTAGCATTGGTTTGCGACGAGAAAGTGGTGCCAACAAGTCTCCGGGAGTAAGGGTCGCGTTGTACTTCTGAATGAAGGGAGTTTGAGCATCGACGATGTCGTCAATACCAGCGTTCGCGGGGAAGTTGACCTCGGTGTCGGCAAAGGTGAAAATGGAGCCTGGAAAAGTTAGACAATAGTTGTGAACATAGAATAGATTTACCGTCAGCTCCTCCACCGCCAAGAGTCGGAGAGAACCCAATGGCGTCGTGGAAGGTCAGGCGGAGAGACTCATGGGTCTCCTCACCGCACTCCCCGCCGTCAAAAAGATTGGTGATGAGGTCGTCGACGATGGGGAACAAGGCGCAGCACTGAGCATGGGCTGTAACCTGACCGGTTGCACAGGTGACACGCTTGGTGAGCGCGGCTAGAAGTGTATCAGCACATTGGGAAAGGTGGAGCGCGAGTCAAACCATTGGCAACGCGGAGAGAAGCAGCGAGGAGGACGATGCTAGAGAGAGTCTTGAAAGCCATTTGTAACCGGGGGGTGCAGGTAAGAGATGCCTCAGCCTGAGGTTGTGCTTCGAGGTTGCCTCAGCTTTTATACTGTTTGGTGCCCTAACAAGACACATCCTCAACCTCTTGTCCAAGCATCGGTTTAGAGGAGTGCCCGAGTTAACCGTGCAGTTCAGCTCGAGTCCTGAGAGAAACACATTCGCTACCGCTGGGACGGTGCTGGCCGATTTGCGAGATGAGAAAAGCAAAAGGTACAGAAAAAGAGGCATTGTCATATTCGGAAACCGGGAAATGTGTACTTGTGGGAATTCTCAGAAAAGGGGGAGTCGTGAAAGGGTGGATTGGATGTTATTTTCGGTTCCGGCCGCCATATTCGAGGCATGCAAGGCACTGCCAATCATTGTTCGTGGTGGGTCAATGCGCACAGTCGACACATGTGTAAGGTTGGGTGTGGGACATTTCAAGAGAGTCGGTGTGTAAGCTCTTGGGAAGCCATCGGAGAGTGGCATTGTGGTAAAAGGAAGTAGCTTGGTGATGTGACTTGGATGTGACGCTGACTCAATCGGATGTGACCTGGTGACTCCTCTACCCAAAAATTACGCAAGTCGAGAGAGGTACAGAGGTGAAACGAGATCGAGGGCTATACTCATTTTGTTCTTGAATTCACAACGTTTCAGCCAATCTAGCTCTATTTTCTATCTCCGAGTTCTAAGCATGAATCTGATGATGATGGAGGGTGAGTGTTTTCGCATGCGGTTCGACCAGCGGTCACTCACTTTGCCTATCGCTCCGGAGTATATCCGATACGATTTTAAGCTGCAGCCATGCGAGTGGCACTCTCACACTGGGAATATTGCGCGAAGCCAAATTCGACGATGATTGAGATAACACAACGACCATGCGCTATCCGTTACTAGTATCCAACTCATCTCCGCCTCGTTTTCAGAATTAATATCTACCGCTTGAGCGGCATTTATAGCCCATGACGGCGACTGTGCCCCAGAAGCATTGACCTCGAGACTACCTCCGTCTCGAGGTTGCCGCCGGCGTTAGCTTTCTCGGCGGAAGCGTCTCCTTCTCATCAAGCAACGCAAGCCTAAACCCACGGTCATTCGCACGCTCTTTCTAGTTGGCACGAGAGCTCTTGTCTTCTCGCGGTCCATCCCCTTACGAATCACATCGAATCCAACTGTCCGCTACTAGTACCATGCCGAATTTCTCCAGGTTCTTATGCAAACCGCAGCGTTTTCATTGGAAGATCCATTTGTTCTGTTACTAATCCTTTCTAGTTCCCCGCTCCGCATCGAGTCGCAATTATGATTCGAATTTCCACCAGCTCGCGCGTCGGTGTTTGACTCCAAAAATCGGGATCTGGGCGCCAGTAGTCGGGGACGGCGACGGGAATACGGCCTCTGAACAGGCGGTCGGCGTGGTATGACGGAATATGGTTAAGCCCTCTAGCTCGAACGGTGTGCTTGAATTATCTTGCACTATTTATTGCATTCACCTAACACCGGCGCACAGTCGGATGCGTGGACCGTGGTTTATGCCGGCGCCGATGCAAAATCAAACAGAAAGCGTCGACCTTGTCTTGGCTACCAGTGCAGTGCAAGTCCTCCTCTTGGCATTTCATTATCCACCAATCTCTAGTCGGAGATGAGTGGTGAACCCGGATCCGAAAATGAGGCACCCGAGTCCTCCAGAAATCCCACCCCATTTTCAAATTGCATCGAAGGAATTCCACAGTCGCACGAATACTTGTGTGTCTCTCGCGTCCGAGACGCTGCCGAAAAATGTGGGTATTTTCCTTGAATTTCTTTCGCTGGATTGTCATCGCTTACATTTTTCCCGGTCCCGTCTACAGCTTGTATCATTGTACTCAGCAGTAACTCGAGATTGAACACCGCACGGCCAGGATTCCAGGTCATGAGAGTTTAAGCCTTGTTTTAACCGCCAGTAGCTAGTTCTTGTGAATATTTTTTCGCGCGTGTGGCCGTCTGCGTCGAAGTAAGGACTCCTCGTTCTCCGGGACGCTCAGCAACCCTTTCCAACTATCTCAGGTGTTCTGCTCAGTCAAGACTATTCCTCCAACGAAAAGGCTGATATGTTAAACACAATGCTCTTGTCACTTTCCACGACTTTCCTGCACTAATTTTGCTACTCGTGCGACATCTCCCTTTCTCCTAGACCTCGCAAACAATGGGATCGACTCGCTGAGCAAGGTCATCTGTCCCTCTTTATCATTTTGATATTTTCGGACCTGCGCGAGCTGGACGAGACAGTCTGCCCGCCAGCGATGCACATCCATAACGGTTAACTGTTCCAGCGCGAGCTCGAGCAGCACACGTGCTGATTGATAGTTTTCATTGGCCACGAAGACCTTGCCAAGACATCGAAGGGCCTGTATCTTGCCGAACTTGTCTTGGATTCGAAAAGTAAATGCAAGGGCAATTATTGACCACCTGAAGGCAGAGTCAAGGGAGCCCAAACGGAAGTCCCAATCACCCAAACGCAATGCACAAGCCACCGAGGACTCGTTCGATGTCCCGTCGAGTTTGGAGAACGACTGCCGCAAAAGATGGTGAGCGTCGCCCAGGTCACCTTGGAATAATTTGAGTTCGCCGACAATCATGTCCAGAAACACGAATCCGATAGGTGCAACTTGTGTTGTTCTGAGATGGTGTCGCATTTCTTCCACCCGTCGCGCAATGTCCTCCGGGTCTTCTTCCAGTTCAATGTCCAATAGAGCAATGTTCATGTCCGTGAAGATGCGAGACAATGTTGGCGGGTGGCGGGGGTCGCGCGGGGGCATGCTGTCCTGTAATATGAGGCGCGCTTCCAGATATTCGGTCTTGAGACTGTGTAAGACGGACAAAATGCTCTGGGCCTTGACATGGGGCTGCATCCCAAACACCTCGCTGCCCTCAAAGAAAGCCAAGGAGTCTTCCAAATAACGAGAGGCTTGCGCAAAATGGCCCAAGCCCATAGCACTGCGACCCAGGACAGACAAGGTTACGGCGACGGGTGTATTATTGTGGGGTCCCACAATCGGCGAAATTTCGAGTGCGTATTGATACGCTCGCTCGGCGGCGTCTTTAGCTTTCTGAGCGTCTTCTGCCATCATGAGATCGTGGGACAGAGCTGTGAGATGTCGCCAACTCAGTGGGGTAGCATAAGGTATGGAAGTGATCGTATCGACAGCAAGTTGGCGGAATTCAATAGTTTTACGGAAGTTATTGCGGTACACTTGGTAGTGATTGGCGACACGAGCATACCATCGAGCTGTTGAACAAGGTCAGTCCTGGAGCTATTTGTCGAGATAATGACTAACCCCGTTCAAAAGCGCCCTTGTCTTGAAAGTACTCGTTACCCTCTGCAATGATAGCCTCCATTTCGACCGCAGAATATTGTTCGTGCCCCATCACAGCATGGAGATATGGGATGTAGACTGGATGGTGACGCCAGTACTTGATTCGCTCCTGCATTAGCTTGGTCCATGGCACTCCTTTTGGGTGATTTGACACTCGCACGAACTCTTCTATCCATAGAGCTGCTCTCAGAGCATCAGCCTCTCGTTCGGTTCCTGTGTTTTCTTTTGACTCCAGCTCTTCCACAGTGAGGCTCCGCAGACTTTGCATATTTGCAGTGATCTGCGACACGATCATTGGGGACAGCCGTAAGTTATCGAAGTTGTTCCAAAGCTCGAGCAGTTTGTGCAGGTAGAGCCATATGGCGGTCCGCATTTGACGAGGAGGAGGATATGCTGCAGCCACGAACTCTCGAACCGGCACGAGAAGCTTTAGTCTTCTATCCGCAGCCATGAAAGCCAGGGCTGTCCGAAGTAGAACAGCCTTAACGGCAAGAATATTTGGAATCACGCCGGACAGGGCCTGCGTAAGCTCGACATCTGCCAGGCCATCGGGAAGAGCGGCAAGCAGACTGAGAAGTTCGAGGGCTTCGTCGGTCATACGCGGGCTTGTGAGAGACAACCCAATCGAGATGTCCAGACTTGAACGTTTGTCGTATCCATCGGACAGGGCAAGTGTTTTGGTTTGACGCCATCGAGCAAGCGTTGCAGCACATCCCTCGTCGGCTGCGGCGCTTGAGATGAGGGTGATGGCTAGTGGTAGGTTCCCCGTGCATTCTAAAAGGTCATGAATAGTTGATGACTCATCGTCCTCCGGTTCATCCGCAATATCGAGGAAGGTTTTGAGCGCCGCTGAGTTCGAGATAGGCAATAGCGGGGGTAGAAATGGGCGAGTCCATTGAATGCCTCCAGGTCGCTCGGCGCCACGCATTGTGACCTTCACAACATCAGTTTTAGAGAAGGTAAAATCCAAAATACGCACAATGATTGAGAGGTTCCTGAGGTCTGCCAATTGCCCTAATAGCTTTTCGACACCATTGCGCTCATCGACAGCCTCCCATGGTGTTTCGAAGTTATCCAACACCAACAATGATTTAGCGTAGTCGAGACATTGCAAAACGCGTTTGATTCGGCTGGTTCGCTCGATGCCAATGTGGGAAGCAATCTCGGCGAGAAGCTCTTGCGTCGTCATGACCGCTTGGCATGGAACGAAGTATATCTGGCCCTCAGGAAAGAGGGATGCCACTTCAGGGTGGTGTAGGACAGCGGTAACAAGTGTCGTTTTGCCCATACCACCAGTTCCTAGAATTGCAACTCGGGCAGCACAATCTTCTCCTAGAGTCGTCAAGATGGCCTCAAGTTCCGATTCACGACCATGGAATATCTGCGGTGGAGGTGGAAGAACACTGAGTGAAAGGGAACTGCTACTCGTTAACGTGGAGTTGATCTGCATGTTTGGATCAGGTCATGGTCAAGACAAGAGGCAGAGACGAACCAAAGAAGACGTATCCGAGTGGGTCAAAGACGGATTTTCCGCAAGTAGCGCGAGAAGCTGGTTATGGTACTCCTGCGTTTCCATCTCGATTCTGGCGATACCGTCGAGGTTCATACGGGCGCAATGACTCTGTGACTAGTTAGATAGGGAGATCGCTCAGGAATAGGTGCATACAGTAAATGATTCCAAAGATTGCTGGAGCTCAGCTTTACACGATTGCAACTGGGCCGACCGTTCGCTTTGCTTGAAAAACTGTTTCACTCTCCCCATCTTCTGCTGCTCGTTTAATACTCTCACGATCCGTTGGAGGATTCTGCACAATTGAGCTTCAGTTGTCTGACAGAAGAAAAAGAACATACTCAGTAAACTTGGCTACGTCAAAGAGTATTGCGGGCGAAAGACTCCCGTCCACTTGATCGATATTGGTGAGCTGGATAATACAGCAAAGGATGTTGTGGACTCGTTCGACAACCAATGCCATCTCCGCTTTCTGTGTTTTACTCGCCTACAGGGTCATGAGTGATTCCAGCGGAACTCGGCGCTGATCACCTACTTCTAGGGCAGAGGCAATGGTGAGGCCATAGGTCGCAGTGATACCCAGCACAGGCATTTTCCATGCATTTGCGATTTCCTTGAGAGTCGAAGCAGCGAGGGTTGTGTATTGCCAGATGTTTTTGGAGTGGGTGGTAGTCATGAGTTGGGCTGAAATTGTGTATGCCTTCGGGACGGCTTATTAGAAGATGACGGAATAGCGCTCAAGGCCTCTCTCGCCGGGCCCACGGTCGGTATGTTGCGAATCTCTGTCAATAACGTTGGTGAAAAAAAAAGAAAAACTCGGCTAGCGTCACGCACCTCCCCCCCCTGGCTGGGACTTCGCGTCTAGCCTGCGTGGATAGTCCAGTCGGCAGTTTTGCTAGACCATATGTCTTCGGCAATATCCATGCTGACTCCCGTTTTTGGTCTCATTGACCCAAGTCCGCCCGAGGTTGAATACAGATGCCGTATTTGCCTTCTTCTGGTGGGGTGGATTAATGAGTTTTCTGCAAGGTGGCTTAGCGATTAGCTTACAGATGCTCTTCTCGTTTTGCACTGGTCAAGTGGGGAAGGAGCAAGATCAACGTTTCCAAAACAGGCAATAGGTGCTCCCATCCTATGGCCAACATCCACAATGCATACCAAGAGGCCCTCCAGGGATACCAAGAAGGTGGAATTCCAATTGGCTCGATCCTCGTGGATGGTAGTGGCCAGATTATCGGACGTGGTCACAACCAGCGAATTCAACGCGGTTCCGCAACATTACATGCAGAAATCTCAGCCCTCGAAGACGCCGGACGGCTGAAAGCGAGTGTATATCGCGACTGCACATTGGTGCGTAACGCAAGCACTTATCACCATGTCTTATTTTTCCTAGTATACGACTTTAAGTCCTTGCAGCATGTGTACTGGCGCTATTCTGCTCTACAAGATTCCTCGCGTAGTGGTCGGAGAAAATATCAACTTTCTTGGCAGCGAAGATCTTTTGCGCTCACAAGGCGTGGAAGTGACCGTCGTGGACGACGAAGAATGTAAAGAACTGATGAGTAAGTTCATTCGGGAGCGGCCAGAGGTGTGTTCAAGCTTCGAAATGCCTTGTCTAGAACTTAGTAGGTGTAGGAATGGAACGAAGACATCGGAGAATGAGTGTAGCGAGACCAATTCAGGTATTTCTCTCTACGAAATCTCAGCACGTTCAGACACGAAAGCAGATGTGTTCATGGAAGACTTGCTACGTTTATTGTCAGCCCTCCAATTGCCCATTCATAAACACCAAGGAACACAGCCCCACCAGCTGATATCCATATTGTTCTGGGCAAAACACCCGCAAACAATGCACTGGGTCCCTCGTTGACGTAAATGGAGCGAAATCGAGTAGCAATGGAAGGCATAGTAGTAGATTGAGCACCCAGAGCCTGTTGAACGTCAGGAAGCGATCTCGTCGAAATGAATTTGATGACTAACGCGCATATCAAGCATAACCCGCGTCTTGAGCACATCCAGAGGAGTAGTGGTCGCTGCCGCTATCCCGCCCGCGATACTACCACAGACGGCTGCTTCGTGTGGGTAGAGTGGTTTCCGGCGTGTGTAGACGGAAAGTCTGGTTTTGAGAAGCTCGTAGAGAGGGAACTGGATAGATGTGAATGGAATCTGTGCTTAAGATGAGCAACGGACCACGGATGGAATGCAAGTAACACCTCGCGCATTATTGTAGTTCCAAACCCACGATACAGCCCATGGAAGCCGTCAGAGGCGAGCACGTGTCGCGCTGCAGAGAGAGAAGATTGCCCAGGACCATATATTGACGTTTGAGCGCGTGTCTTTATGACCTCGGTGGGCACACGGACCAGACACGCAGCCTATATGATGAGCAAACTGACAGCCACAGGTAGGGCTGACTAACTACTTCGCCGAGAGATGCGGAGCATACATGGGTTACTGACACCATGCTTTCAGGCAGCGGAGAGTGCTGCTTCAAGGTATCGTATGTGGCGAAGAAAACCGCCGCTGAGGATATAAAAATTAGACTTCGAAAAGAGTCCACAGACAAGGGCGTACCTCCTGGAGCGCTACCCACACCGACGCTCCCAACACCCTTGTATATTCCTCTGAACCCACCAGCCTGCACAAATCCTTGCGGTGCTTGCAGTCGCGTCTTGAGCGTGTCTATCGGGAAAAAGAGCAGATCGACGGTTGTGCCTGCAAGTCCACCTGCCTAGACGTGTTCACGGGCTAGAATATATCAAGCCGAACTGAGCGTACGGCGAGGGACTGCCAGAAAACTGGTCGTGGGTTCAGAGACGACGATGTGGTCATTCACCAAAAGTAAGTGTCACGGTCACGAGATATATTTATTTGAATATTTCCAGGATTCACGCAAGCTTCAAAAAACCGCCTTTATCATCCGTGATAGTCCCCTGCGGCCACGATCATTTCAAAGTCCCCTGCGCGCTGCTATTACTGATCACTTGCTCAAGTGTTAGAGCGGGAGTAACTTTTCCAGTCAAAAAACGATGGTCTTGTTAAGCGGCTTACATAACTTAAGCCTGCGTAGCAAAAAGGCTAATAACTCCAACCCAGTTTGCTTCCACAGCCTGGTGCTATTACTTGACTCAACGGCTTGTCAGATATTGAAGTGTCACGCAGGTCACGGTCGACCTTGGTCGACGTCAGACACTCTCCCCTTAGGCAAAGCGTTGCCTATGCCATTCTACTAAACATCGCCATACTTCGATACGGCCCTTACGCAACTCGTTTGTCTACTCCGAACTATATCGTTATGCCCGGCGGAGTCGTTTTACCACACTCAGCTTTATGCGTTGTGAACGATCGTCTCAGTCTGGTAGATCAGGCTTGTTCTGGATCTTGCCCGTTTTCTTCGAGCCTCCAGCAGGACCCACCCCATGACGGAGACGACCCCATATTCTTCTTACATGTCCTCCGTCATACACCCGGGATCGCACCGCCAGCAGCAAATGCGACCGACCTTTTCGATGCCCTCGACACAATAGCGGTCACGCTCCGTGGCGAGACAGATGATTTGGGGTTCTTGCGGGAGTTCTTTGGGCCAGAATCTGTGTTCTGGGATGCGAAAGAGCACTTGTTTGGCGTCACGTCAACTCGACGGGAGCGTTTTTTTGACTGCGTGTGGCCACGAATTGTCGATATCGCGTTGAATTTGCCAAACCTGTTTCCGAGCGGTCACGCTCCAACGCTGGTCTCTGTCGAAAAAATCCACTTGACGAGACAACAAACTGCCTGTCTCGTTGCACACCAGTTTCTTTGCACGCTTCCTCGTGCTGGTGGTAAGGCTTACGAGGAGCTGGATTCCATGGATCTGCACATCTGGTTTTCAAGAGACCAACCTCACCCGTATGCGGTTCAGGCTTACCTAACTGCATTGATCGTCTTTCTCGAAAGAACAGTAATGGAAGAGGATGTGGACAGAGACACTACATTCACTCTTACTGGCCCCTTCGCACCCTCAGACTCAACCCGAAACCGGAGTTTTTGTCCCGTCGAACTTGACGTCCGTGGCCACGACGCTATAGTTATCTCCCCGCAGTCTGTCGGCCTCCAATACTCCGCTGACGTTGGTGCCTCCAATGCATGCGTCATTTCAGCTAATAAACATCCTGGCTTCGGTAGAACGGCGTCTCAAGAGGAAATGCATGTCGGGTGTTCGCCAGCGAGTTGGGTACTCAAACTTGTTATGCCTACCTCTGGCTTGCCCGACGACCAAGCGTTGGTTGTCGAAGGATGCGAGTTGATTGTGGAGATGACTGGTTTCTCTCGTTCAGCGCGACTCTCTGGGATCTCCTTGAGCGAGAACAAGTGGTCGTCGAGAACAATGCTGTTTATGGACGCCCTGCCCTTCGACGCTTACGACACAACCACATCCACAGCGATTATACCGGACCTGCTGCCAGGAAACGTTGAGCGCGAGTTCAAGAAGGCGTGTGCGGCGTTCAATTCGGCTCCTTATGATCAGATCATAACTGGTCACTGGGGCTGCGGCTCGTTCGCAGGGAATAAACCGGTCAAGGCTATCATCCAATGGTGTGCAGCGAGCATGTCGGGTATTGGTCGACTCAAATTCATTTGTTGGCCTGGGGAAGATGAAGTAGGTGTGCTTTCAACAAAGAGATGGTTTACTCATCGAACAACCAGTCGTTTCCCGATGAATTTTCTGGGTTTATTGAGTTGGTGGCTAACGGTGGCTATACTGTGGCAAATCTATTGGATGTGTTGCTGAAACTGCGCACCGATGACGAGCCTGCTCGTCACAAGTCACACTTTGTCACCCAGTTTGATTTCCTATTTTAGTTTCCACTTCCTTTTCTAGTTGCCATTTCCTACCTTAGTTTCCATTCCCTATCTTTCCTGACTTTGTTGCTCATTTTCCATTTGATTTTAGTTTCTATTTCATTTAGCCCTTATTTATCTAGTCTATAAAAGCCTGTCCATAGCTAGTAGTTATCATCATCCTCCCCAGTGCTTCCCCTCTCAGTCTTTCCCTTCTGAGTTTGAGTTCTCTTTTGAGTTCTTGAGTTCTTGGTGTTGAGTTTCCTGAGGAGTTTGTTAGCTCTGAAGGCACTTGCACACTTAGTCCTTGTTTGTCTTTTGGCAAGCAAGCACGTCATTTTGGAGCCCACCGCGAGGGGTCTTCAAAACAGCTTCCGAAACTCCTCACTGTTCACCGGACCAACCAAGCCTCCGAACTGTACATTCCGCCGACTACTACAAACTGTACAAATACTCGTCACCTTCCTAAGCCTCAGCCCGACGTCCGCATTTCCCTCCTTCCTGCCACAATCTCCGTCGCGGCGCCCAGCACGCTTTCACCCGCCCGCGATACCAGTACTGCTGAGACCCGATCCCGCTGTCGCACTCCGTTGGTCCGTTTGAGGCAATCCAGCTGCTGTTTTTCGTTTGTCTCGACCTATCTCTCCGGCGCGACCTGTTTGCGCTACTAAGTGGAACACTTGCGAAGGCAAGTGTGATGTCTTGTGACGAGCGGGAGAAGGCAGCTGTCAAGATCTCGTGACTCGCCTCTCCTTGACAGCTGCCTCCATCCTCGACTCCCTACTTCACTTTCTTTTGGTGTGAAGCTGAATCGAAGCGAGAGAGCAAGAGACAAGCCTGGCCCTGAAACAAAGGCCCACTTGACGACGACACACCTTGGTAGTTTCACCACGCCGCGCAGGGTGTTTCCGATCCCCTCCAACACTGCATCCTCCTCGATTTCGGCATACAATTCCCGCCAGCTGCTGCACACGCCGCGACGCGACCCGCACGCCCCGTTGGTAGCCTAGACCACCTCCACCCGACTCGCATTTCCGCCATAGGGTTGGCTGCACCACCAGCACTCCCCAGCGTTGACCAACTCTCGAGAAACCCCGTCCTTCATCCCCTTGCGTCGTCCGTGCTTGCCCTTCCTCACCCAGCCGCACATTGCTGCCCTGTGGCGACATTTACGCCGGCCTGCCGTCGTTGCTTCACCAGAGCCGCCGTCTCCGTCCCAAACTCGCGCCCCCATGGTGACAAGTACTCGTCTGCGCTGCCCAGGTTGCCCAGTCCGCGTTTCCGCCCGGAAAGCCGCCCGTCCAGTCGCGTTTCTGTCCGAGCCCCACCCAGAAAACTGTGCTGTATTGACGACGAGTGCGGCAAGCACTCACCGGCGTCGAGAACCCACTAGCCTTCATCTCTGCTCCGGTTTTGCCCTCCTTGCATCTACGCGCCGCCTGGTATTGCTCCTCCACCGACCACGCTCACGCGTTTCTGTCGTAGGCGCCCATAGACGTCCTCTGTGGCTGCAACGGGTCAGAACAAGTCGTTACACATCCACGAGCACTCACCAGCGTCGACTTTCGTTCGAAAACCTCCCCCACCGGCCGCCACACTCGCGTTTCGTCCCAGTCGTCCAGAAAAAGGGTTAGCTGCGCCCACAACAAGCCGCTACGCGTCGAGAGCACTCACCACCAGTCCCTCGCTCGCAAAACCCCCCGCGCTCGCATCGCCACCCATTCCTGCCCTCCCGACCCCTCTGCATCGCCCGTTGCCGCAGTCCAGCCCTTTGCCGACTCCCAGAGCTTTCCCTGCCCTTATTTGCCGCGAAAAATCGTGCTTGCTGGCGGCGAGGATGGAAGACAAAAGCAAAATGAAGAGATGTGACCGATGCGTGACGCCGTCCAATACAGCCCGCCCGGAGCTTGACCGGACCGAAGGCCGAAGCTGTGCAAGCAAACACTCCGCCTCCACATCCCACGACTATCCCCGAGCTGCGCCGGGCGACAAGCGATGCTTTAGCAACGGACTCACGCCGCGGTGCTACTCCCCGCTACCCCTGATGATGAATTATTCCCGATGCGAACTATACCTGCTGAATTGCCTGTGAGAAATATGATTCTCCACCCTGCGCTGCGACCTTCCCTGCATAAGTTTAAGAAACCTGAGCTGCTTACCCTGCGATCCACGAATTACCCACGCTGCTGATTGAACTTGAACTGAGAGCCCACCCGATATTGTTGCCTGCCTGCCACATTCCCCCCCGAGACGCTGTTTTACGCTGCTGAATTGCTCCCGCCACCACCGCCTTCTACACTTTTGACCGCTTGGCAACTGCTTCTGATCCGGATCAACCTTCTGAACTACATTTCCGCTGTTGCCCTGATTCGCAGGCCCATGTTTGCCTGGTCAGGCAGTGGTGTAGTTGCCTTAGGACTTCCTTTTTGGAAAGTTGCCAGACTTGATGAAGTCTATTGACACTCTCCCCCATTTCTGTTTCACTTTTTACTTTTCTGATTTATTCCTTCAAGTTGTTAGTGTTCTCTTTCCAGTGAGTGACTGGGGACAGTCACTTTTTGAGTTGAGAGGAGGTGACGAGCCTGCTCGTCACAAGTCACACTTTGTCACCCAGTTTGATTTCCTATTTTAGTTTCCACTTCCTTTTCTAGTTGCCATTTCCTACCTTAGTTTCCATTCCCTATCTTTCCTGACTTTGTTGCTCATTTTCCATTTGATTTTAGTTTCTATTTCATTTAGCCCTTATTTATCTAGTCTATAAAAGCCTGTCCATAGCTAGTAGTTATCATCATCCTCCCCAGTGCTTCCCCTCTCAGTCTTTCCCTTCTGAGTTTGAGTTCTCTTTTGAGTTCTTGAGTTCTTGGTGTTGAGTTTCCTGAGGAGTTTGTTAGCTCTGAAGGCACTTGCACACTTAGTCCTTGTTTGTCTTTTGGCAAGCAAGCACGTCACCGAAAATGTCCAGAATGGGCGGGAAGCGCTTTTCCGAGAGGTTTTACGCAAATTGGGCCATGATTAGACTGTGATCACAGCGGTTCCTGAAACAGCCGCCAACGCTTTCTTTTCCTGCCTTCATTTTGGTCCACTCGCAACGGAGATCTTCTGCGGAAGGCACTGCTTCCGAGGCATCCGAATAGCCATCGATTTGGTCCGACGGCGGTAGACGGTTTTGTCTACTGCGCCGTAACCGTTATCGGAAGAGCAAGTCAGCAACAAGATGTCATCTCTTCAAATCGGCCGCCAATCCGGCAAATCGGTATGGGGGTTGTTGGCAGAATATCGTTGTTAAAAGAACACATTGCGGCCAGTGGTTGAGCACCATTTCTCTTCACGTTCACCTCCTTTCTTCCTACTTTTGTCTTTCTTGTCATGGGTCGGTTTGGCATTCCGCCTCGTCTTACTTAACTCAATGTCTCTACTAGCCATCCCAATGATTCCAGTGGATCTCGTTATTCGCAAACTTGAACGGCCGCTGAACTCGACCATCTCTGTTGCCGAAGACTCATACGGATATATACCGTCAGAGTCCATTGCCATCATCTTTATTGCCCTGTTCGGAATCAGCACAGGTCTGTTCAAGTTTGCAACCTTCGTATCTCAACACGGCTTAATCTGTGACCCAGCCCTGCATACCGCCCAAGCCGCCTATTTCCGCACGTGGTGGTTGATACCAACAGCCGTCCTTTGTGGCATTGGCGAGCTTATTGGATGGGGCGCCCGGCTTTGGAGTGCAGTTTCACCAAATGCTGACATTCCATTCAAGATGCAGTCAGTCAAGCCAACTTTCTAATGTTTCCATGCTCAATTTGCTTAGGATCTCTGCAACAATCATTTCTCCTACTCCGCTGCTTGCCGCAAGTTTCATTATATTCTCGCGTATCATCGCACGACTTGGGCCTGGCTATTCTTTAATTCCTCCTCGTTGGTGTGCGTCATATCAGCCCGTATTCCTCCATACTTCTGCTCACGACGACTTAGATGCCTGGTTTTTTGTGTCGTGTGATGTCATTGCGCTTGTCGTCCAAGGCGTCGGAGGCGGTCTTGCTGCTTCGGCGGACGATCATGCGGGTGCTCAGCGCGGTGCCAACATCATGCTTGGCGGCATTGGCTTTCAGTTTGGTACGTGTTCTTTGCTTTCGTCAGACCAAAACTGACCTGTAATTTAGCCGTTATTATCATTTTCAGTATCCTGGTAACCGACTTTCTGATTCGGTACTTCTACAAAGCGCCATGGCGTGCCGCGGCTCTTGAGGGTAGTATCTCCGGTCTGACACGTGGCACTCTTACTCGACCTCTGGCCACGATCCTTTCTGCACTTATCTTCTCGACAATCGTTCTGTTTATCCGCTCCGTTTACCGCACGATCGAGCTGGCAGGTGGCTGGGACGGAAGGATCATTCACACTCAGCTCTATTTCAACGTCCTTGACGGTGCCATGGTTGTGCTGGCGATATTCACCTGGAACTTTGTCCATCCAGGCTGGTTCTTATCAGAGTCACTTGCCGAGGAGCAGCGCAGGACGGAGGAGCAGAAGGGACTGTTCATGGCGATGGAGAGTAGGAGCAGGGGGACGTCTCCGGTTTAGATAGCTATGAACATCGTGGTTGTGATTCTTTTCTGACGGACTTGGTGTAATTAAGTAGTATAAGAAACGATGGTATCCAACTTTCCAATATATATAGAAGTTAACGACCGGCGGAAAAATTATGAACACGACAACTCGCAACTGAGTCTCACTCACTCAATGCCGATGTCTCTACCAGTACCATAAAAATCTCTCATCCTAATCGGTCTTGATTCCGCACGGAAGTGACGATCACGCCACCGTGTTTTGACCAAATTTACTGCGAAAATTCAGCTGACACGAAGATCACCGTCGGAGGCGGTTCCGCGGCTGCGGTCATTACTTATTGGAGGCCAAGACTATCTCTACCTTCCTTTTAACGATACCCACTATACCCACCCCCAGCAAGACGACGACCGCAGCGACTAGCAATAAGCGAGCCGACCAAGATGAAGCGGCTTCCGGGGAGTTGCGATAGGTGCTGGAGAAAGAAAGGTTTGCCGGTGTCCATGGCGTGCATATACTTAGAACTCACATCGTTCTAGTGAAATGTGAGTCTTAGACTGTCCTGCCACTTCTGTCATAACGTGGATGTACTCGTCCCCCTCAGGCGACCGTGCGACGATGGGTGGAGGAACTTGTTCGAATTGCCTAAGCGTCAAGGCTGAATGCGCGCATACGAGGCGGAAGGTACGTGGTCAGCAACATTACAAAAGAAATAATCTTTTGAACCTCAACAAGGGCACGAAAAACCGCTCGAAAGCGTCCATCCAAAGCCTCAAGACCGCGAAAGAGCATGTGTCCAAGATTGTGTCTTCGACAGCGGTCTACATTCCGCCCAGCGATGCTGCGGCATCGAACCAGATTCTGATAGAGGTTGCGCAGTATGCGCGCTCGCTGGAGGAGCAAGTCGCGTCGCTGCAAGGCCAGCTCATACGCAATGCTACAAATTCGGCCTCCCCGCCCTCCCACGACAGCCCAACTCCAGAAGCTGAGTCAAGCACACAATCCAACGGCATCGGCGAGGGAAGCGGGTTTCGACTAATGAGAGAGGACTTTGTGGAGAAGAAACCGATGGATCGTAGTTTCCAGTTTGTCAAGGCTGCGATCCAGCATGTCCCACCGAATACTCGGCCAATGCTCGATCTCCCGTGGAAGCGGCCGGAAGTGTGGTTACGCCAGCCGGTGCGCTACCTTCTCCCTGTGTCTGTGAACGTATGTCTGAATTCAGATAGTGGGAAATTATCATTCACGAGGTGACTAAACCTCGACACACTTTTCCCGATGACGACCTCCTCTCCTCGCTCGTGGACATGTATTTCGAAAAGATCAATCCTATTCTCAGCATTATCCATCAACCCTCCTTCCGCAAAGCGCTGTTCGTAGAGCGCAAACACATTCAAGACCCTCATTTTGGATCTGTCGTCCTCGCAGTATGTGCCCTTGGCAGTCGACATTCGGAGGACCCGAGGGTACTATTGGAGGGGACGACGGATGAGTACAGCTGTGGCTGGAAGTGGTTCTCCCAAGTCCGTCCTATGCAAGCCATCTTCTGGGCTGACTACCCCAACACATTGTACCAGCTACAGCTCGTGGTGGTGCGCCAATTGTCCTTGTGATATTCTCTGGCATTGCTAATTATTTCATTCGACAGCTGTCCATTTCCTTCTTAAGCGCAACTGCCATGGGCTATCGCGAGGAATCCTGGTTACTTGCTGGTATGGGATTGAGTTTTGCAGAGGCGGCTGGGCTACATCACCGACATGGGGATGGCTATCGGAACCTCAGTCCACTCGACGCAGAGCAGTGCCGTCGAGCCGTATGGCTTTTGGTTGTGTCGGACTCCGTCATCAGTTGCCTTCAAGGTGGACAAGGCAGGGTCAAAACAATGCAAATCGACGAGTAAGTACGCGGGGGTGGACATTGGTCGTTTATATGGCTGAACTGACAGTACGCAGATTAGATCTTGATTCGCCGTCGAACAAAGACGAGGAATATTGGGGACTGCAGGAGCTTCAACCATTTGGAAAACCGTCGCGATGCGATTTCATTGTGTCGTACATAGAACTGGTCAAGATACTTTTTGATATCCAAGAGACCGTGGTGCGTAATTTGAGCGTTTTGACTTCTCCCTCTTGCTAAACCTCATTTACAGTATCCAGAGGACGGGGAGCCTGTTGCTGAAGAAGAAATCATTGCCCTAGAGTATGTTTTCGTCCATACCTCGCCTTCGTCATCATCTGATGAGCGATAAGCTCACAGTTGAATCAGTGGGTTGAGAGTATACCTGATCATTGTGCGTATTTTGCTCATCTAGCCAGCTTTGGTGTCGCTGATTTTAACAAGTGAAATGGAACGCGAACCTTGACAATGTCGTTTTATTACTTCCTTTTTGGGTGGCTTGCACGTATAAACATTTCTGCAGATTTTTCTGGATCAATCAGCCTCGCTCTATGCGACTTATTACCATGGTATGAATCCTATACTCTCTGCTTGTTTAACCTGATGGTCCAATCAGCTCAGATAATTCTTCATCGCGTGTTTATCCCGATACCGGGCAAAGAATCATTGAATGCGTCTGTCTTCAGTCGGGCCAAGGCCAGCGATTTGCCTAGTTGTACCGGACGCGAGACTGAATTCGTTATCACAGCTTACCTTCCCGTCTCTGGCTATCTGCACAAATGCTGCTCGTTCTTGTGCCCACGTCCTCAATATTCACGCCAAGCGTGGACATGGGTTGTTACATCTTCCAACGCTGACCGTATGCGATGAGATATTGGACCTGTCTCCAACATTGACTCCAACTTCTTTAGACCATCCTCTTTGACTGCACAATCGTCCTCTTCATCAATGTCCTGAGCAACGGGAAGAAGATACACACCCAAGAAGAGTTCTCGCGGGCAACAGTCGACATACAAAACTGTTTCGCTATCATGAGACTATATGAGCGACGGCGGGTCGATTCTTGTGTCCAAATGACCAGGGCTGACATGCTGCAGATGGCGATTTGCCGGTCGTCGCTGCGATGCCATACGTGCTGGACTAAATCTGATCAAATTTGCGATTCTCTCGAATAATTCGGCTTCCACATCGACACACGCACCAGTTTCAGTGCAGGCATCTCATTCGCCGATTGTCGAGGAGTTTTGGTCGACGACTACTGCTACCAGTAACTCTGACACATCTTCCAACAGTCCATCCTCCGCACGCACTCGCGCGCCACAGCATTTTAAAACACTTGCAGAATCCGTCGATTCCGTTAGCCACCTATTCAACCTACCTCTCCGAACAGAGGAACTTGGGAATTATAACATACCTTTCGACCCTACCGCACCATCTGGATTCCTGCCAGGGGGCGATTGCTTGGCCAATCCAAATGACCAGCCGCCAATGCCAGACCTTGGCGGATATGACGCTGAGATGGATTTGGAGGCAATGTTTGGCACGGGATTCTCTACGGAGCAGCTTTTTGCTGAGGCGGTCCGGCCTAACTTGGAGCCAGGCGTGGCGCAAGTAGATCCATGGGATGTGTTCTCAGGCTATGGGCGAGTCGATTCTCTTCTTGCGATATGATCAAGCGTGCTGACATCCTGGCTCAAAAACAGCTGGGGAGATTGGAGCTCGTACTTAATGGACGAGACCCTGTAGTACTTTAGATAAATCTAGCTTACCTCACATGTACTAGTAGCTATCGCATTGCTTGGCTGAATCTTTGCTGAAACTTCGCCTCCGTGAGGCTCCGTCTGATTTATTGCTGATTTAGCTGATTTAGGCAAGCACGTGAGCGAGATTTTTTTACAGTCCCTTCCTGCCTTCTTCACCGTCCTGGCCACATCGGAGCTTTCGGAGCCCATGTCTCACTTCTATCTCCCACAGGCACGGCCGCCGCCCAAGAGTCCGTGCGTCATCAGCTGCCCTCGTCACAGGGTCAGCTATTGAAGACCGACGCAAATTCGCGCCTATATAAGGGACCGAATAGAATTGTCGCGGCATCGATATGGCTCTTCAGAAACACCTTCTCAATGACGCTGACACGCTCGTCGTCGACTCGCTGACGGGCTTGTGTGCCGTCAACAACCAGCTGGCGTTTGACCCACCGAACAAAGGTGTGTTTGTTTATTGTGTGTCTATTGTTCTGCTTTGTCTCACTTGTGCTCAGTCGTGTACAAGGCTACTTTGGATCGCTCCAAAGTTGCTCTTATCTGTGGAGGCGGGTCTGGGCATGAGCCTTCGCATGCGGGTTTTGTGGGTATGTTGTGCTTGGTCCAAGGAGAAAGCAGCTGAGCGTCGCAGGCGAGGGCATGCTCAGTGCCGCTGTCTGTGGCAATGTGTTTGCTAGTCCCAACGCATCTCAGGTCCGGCGGGGCATTGACCTGGTAGAGAACGATGCTGGGTATGTCATCTTTGGCTGCTGTTCTTTGCTGTTCTCATACTTGCCGTTTTAGCACCCTCATTCTCGTCAAGTCAGCTCCTTTCGCCATCTTTGTCTGTTGTGGCTGACAGGCTATTTAGAAACTACACTGGTGACATCCTCAACTTTGGCCTTGCGGCAGAACAGTATGCTGCTGAACACGCAGACAAGTCCAACAAGGTCAAATTCGTTGTGGTTGGTGAGGATGTAGCGGTGGGCAAAACTCAGGGTGGGATTGTCGGACGCAGGTACGAATCCTTTATTCTTCCCATTTTCACTTCTCATCGTTCACAGAGGCCTTGCGGGTGTTGTTCTCGTATACAAGATTGCGGGTGCACTTGCTGCTCAAGGCGGCAGCCTCGAAGAAGTCCACGATGTCGCGCAGTATGTTGCTAGTCGTATCGGCACCATTGGGGTTGGCCTAGAGCATTGTCATGTGCCTGGCACGGCAGCTCCAACCCATTCTATATTAGCTTCGGAAATCGAAATCGGACTGGGAATCCACAACGAAGCTGGCAATCAGCGCATTTCACCCATTCCGCCGCTCTCGCAACTTATTCCCCAACTTCTGGATTACATCACTTCCACCACAGACCCAGAGCGCTCGTTTCTCCCTTTCAAGCACGATGGCAAGGACGAAGTGGTCCTGCTAGTCAATAATCTTGGTGGTTTGAGTGAGCTCGAGCTTGGCGGCGTTGTTCGTGCTGCGAGAGACGAACTAGCGGAAAGGAAAATTGTTGTGAGCCGTGTTATTTCAGGGACTATCATGGTATGATCTCGTCATCATGCTTTTTCTTCCATTCATTAATTACTCGCAGACAAGTCTCAACATGCCTGGCTTCTCGATTTCCCTTGTTCTTCTGCCCAGGGCCGAAGACACCCAGGCCCCCAAAGCTAGTTTCCTCCTTTCACTCCTTGATGCTCCGGCACAAACACCAGGATGGAAATGGTCGTCTGGTGCTCCGCCTGTTACTCCGACTCCACTTGCGCCCCCTCCACATCCCCCTGCCAAAAGAGCCGCTGACGCGACGGCTGTTTCTGCGTCCAAGCCTTCAGAATTTGTAACAGCAATTCAACGGGCTTGCGATGCTGTAGTCGCGGCGGAGGCGGAAATCACACGGATGGACACGATTGCAGGAGATGGCGACTGCGGGTTGACGCTCAAGTCCGGTGCCCAAGCTGTTCAGAAGGCCGTTGCCGCGAAGAATATCACTGGGACCGATTTGGTGGGTGACTTGTTGGCTGTGGCGAAGGTGGCGGAGACGGATATGGGTGGTACCAGCGGTGCACTATACTCGTATGTTCCTTTCGTCATTTTCCTCTTTTTGTTCTTATATCGTCATGTAGTATATTCTTTTCAGCGCTGGCTCAAGGTGTACAGGGTGCAGCGGGTGGCCAGTTGACCACGGCTACTCCCGAACTCTGGGCAACAGCATTGACATCGGCATTGAAGAAACTTTACACGTATACACGGGCACGTCCACCATCCCGCACACTTGTCGACCCCCTCGCTGCATTCGTCGAATCATACGATAAGGGATTCTCGGAGGCGGTGAAAGCTGCTGCTGCGGCTGCCGAACACACGAAAGATGTTGATGCGAAGGCGGGGCGGAGCGCATATGTCGATTCGGCATTGCTGACTCGAGAGAAGGTGGCGGATCCCGGGGCGTGGGGCGTGAAAACTATCTTGGAGGCAATTTGAAGCTATGGAGAAGACAATTAACTTGTACAATAGGACCGTTATCACTATTTGATGTGTTCAAGTGATGACGGAGGTAATCCCGCGTGAGCTTAAATGGGTCGTCTTTGCTGTAAGCTACGAAGGCCATGAAGATGATGTGTGCCTGTACTTGCCCGCTGGAATGACCGGAAATGATGGTACTTACCACTTTTAGAGTACAACTTGAAATAACAGCAAGAGCCCCGTGTTAGCGTTGCTATTTTGACATGACAATATTGCCTTCCCTCAAGAAAGTATGCAAGAAGAGATAATAGTACTCGTGAGTTTGCGATGAGCCACCCAGTGACTTTCTGGTGGCTCAGTGATTTGCTATTTTCTCAAAAGGTTCTGAATGAAATATTATACAACTTGTACAACTTGAAAGTATTGTTATTCCAAGGAGTATACAACCTATGAATGGAGACTTGAGCAACTGGTTGCTGAGAAACCACAGCCACCCAGTGGTGGCTCTGGTGGCTAATTGCAAACTCTCTAATGGGGCCATGCAAATATGTATATGATTTCAAATGTGCACCTACATCGCCCTTTTATCACCATCCTGTCTCTTCCCAACTCTCTTGCCTGGTCTCCTCATCCACAAATCACCATGCTGGTTACCTGTGCCATCCCCTAATGTACACTGGACTGTTTCCACAATTTTTCCCTGTGAAAAGTTAGATAAAAAATTTGAACAAATTTTTCTGAGTGAAATTTTGAACTTTTTTGGGCAACTTTTGACTGAAAAATGTCAGGAAAACGACTATATAGAAAGAAAAAACTAGGACAGTAATTTCCAGTTTTGTGCAGGTAGTTTTTTGGTGAGAACAAACTAGGAAAAAAAATACAAGGTGTTTTTCAACATTTCTGATGGTCAAATACTTTGGACTAGCAAAAATTATTATACAAATCATCAGTTTCCCCCCCCCAATTGTTTATGAGTAAAAACTCAAAAAAATTCCAAGGAAAAAAGAGATTATCAGTAGTGGCCAAAAATGACCTTCAAAACTTTTGTAACACATTTGAAAATTCTAAAAGAATTTCTGAACCCAGTCTCGTTTTCCTATGAATTATTGTGAGCAGCTGGAAGAAGTTCGGTGGTGTTGTCTGAATAAGGCACCAACCCGGCCGAGATGACACAAATTAGGCAATCTTGGTGACGGCTTACACATATTCTTTTGCACCACTATGGCCTTCCCCTACTGCCCTCCCGCCACATACCGTGCCTGAAGGCTGCACCAGTCACACTTCGTATCAAGGCATTGCCTACAACGATGATATTGCATGGAACTCGGGCTGACCACTGTGACCGAATACAGTTACTGCTCCAAGATGCATTCTGAAGCTCCAAGACATGTCTTATTCAGGACATGTAGTCCTCGAATTTGCATGAAGAGTCATAAGAGGCCTTTCCTGACTTCACTTTCAAAACTACTGGCTTTGGTGATGATGCCAAAGTCGAGCTTACTTTGATGGGCCCCAAGTCCCCTTGCCTCAACACTAGTAACTCTAATCACTTGCCTGAGTACATTTAAATGATTTCTTTTCATGCTTAACAAGCACTAATCTTGTTGATAGCTCGCTTGACCTCTCTGTGGACTCAGTTCGTCGCACCGGCATTGTTTCAACCCTGTCACCTCCCTACGAGGGTCCTATGACCCAATTTTTGCACATTCTGGATGACATAACACCTACCCAGTCCATCATCACTACTACCCCAAAGACGCCCACCAAACCGTATCAATTCGGACACATCTATGATGCTCGCGGCCATCCCCTCCCTCTGCTCGACTATGCTTCTTGTCCTGGTGGCACTTACGTTGGCACGCCCCACAACAACCCTTGCCCCAAATTCTCCGTTCACATCAGCTCCAACTCTCCAACATCCTCTGAAGTGTTGCCTGCGACGCCCAAGCTGCTCCGTCGACTTCTTCTGGAGCAGTATTGGGCCCAGCACATGCCTAGCTACCAATCGCAACTGGCTGTCAAACACATTAAGCCAGAGCCAAAGGAGCTTAAGCTTACGAAAGAATCCAAAGCCGGGAAGGAGAATGAGTCGGTGGAGAAAACTGGTCGAGGTGTCCTGAACGATGCGCAGTCATTCACAAAGACTTTGCGTATTGTAAATGCGCAGCATCCGTGGTTTGCATCACATGGAAAGAAGGGGGGAGGCATGGGAAGAATGTGCTCGTCTCGCATCTGTCGCTATCAAACGAGCCATGACATCGACATATCTCAAAACTAAGATGGAGGCTATTGTCGACTGGAAGAATGTATTTCTACTTTATAATCCTCAAAACCTCTATGCTAACTTCGCTTTCAGCATCCCATAGGCAAGAACAAGTCCCTTGGCACTATTGTTAGTAGCGGGAATCCAGATGCCACCCCGCTTGGTGCACTCATGGAGATGATGGAGCAGCAGCAATACGATGACACAAAAGGGAAGTCAGATGAGGGTATGGTTTCATATCATGTTGTTCCCTTGCTGACTTATTGCTATAAAAGAATGACGAGGACAAGAACAGTGGTGAAGAGATCCGGAAGGTGTTGATGCAAACCCTCCGCAAGCGCGCAATCAGCCTCTCGAGTGACAACAAATCAGACAGCGACACCCACTCCGTCCATACTGTTATCGACATCACAGACTCTGACAACCATGCTGACAATGAAGGCGACAGTACCAACAGCTGTAAAAAAACCAAATCCAAGAAGGAGAAATCAAAACGACGACATGTCATGGACCAAAACTCGACTTCTGACAACCTCATTGCACTTTTCAAGACCGAAAATGCATGTCACGCTGCTTATGATGAGCGCATCACTACATTGTGGGAGACATTCGTCAGCGACGCATGAGAGGGACGGGAGTTGTTGAAGCAATTATTGGTTAGGAAGGATAACAAGGAAGTGTCGTCGAACAAGACTAAGTAGAACCATTGTTAACATTAAGTTTACTACTATAAATACACGTCTTCTGTTTAGTCATGAAAGTGATCCTTGATGAATGGTGGTTCACAGTGGAAATACTGAGCAGTCTGATTAGGATTGAAGCAGTTCAGTGCATTTGTAAGGAGCACTCCCACTCGATGCCATTGCCTCATTCCAGGCAGCTTCCTCTGGAGTCCATTCCCCTGGTCCTGAGTATGGACTGAGCATCAGCAGGCTCACACCATATGCTGGGTCGCCAAAAATTTGGAAGTAGCGAGCAGCTGCTGGAGTGTTGTTATCAGTGCCTGGTTTTCGGGCATGTTGTTTGCATTTCTTGAGTAGCTCAGATGACGCAAGAAGCGCGTTATCATTACGTTGACCCTCCATAGGTCCATAGAGATGGCTGATTAGTCCATTGGGCAGAGTGACAGCTTCAACGCGTGAGTCTTCTTATAACCGTTGTACACAATTCGTTGGAGATGGTGCGGGCGACAGATGAGATGGATAGTATAGTTGATGAAGCCCCACACGTAGTCTAGTGGTGCACCTGCATCGAATATAGCATTCGCATATGAAGACATACAGTCTGGCGCAAGTACTCCTTTAGTGTCAAAATTAAGGAGATGGGCCCAGCGGTTGTCGAGATAAAGACACAGCTCGTTGACAACCCTCACTGATGGCTGATTGTGCACATCTATATCGCATTGAGAGTTGGTATTGATCCCCTGGAGTGCAGAATCGCGCGAGAAGTAAGCATAAAGCTTCGATGTTGGATAAGACAGAATGACCACTGGTCTTAAATGGCTGAGGAATATCTAGTACATTGACCAGTGTTTGTAGCTCTTCAGCATAGAAGCTAATAGAGATTGCATTAGTAACTATAATAGGCATATCTGGAAAGGAAGACAGCACCCATAGCTGTAAGAATTAGCCTTCTGGCTTAGATGCACCTAGGAAATGCATTGCCTAGGATACTAAATGTACCTAGCCTAGGTGTACCCAGTGGTCTAGGCTAGAATCATCTCAGGGTATCTGGATCAATATAGCATCAATGATTGAATAAATGGTTATATAATACCTATAATATTAATATTGATACATATATAATACTTTAAACTCCTTTTCTTCAGGCCGATGACCCGGTATATAGTTGGGAAGGCCTGTGTCAATAACAATCCTAATTTGGACAAAAATGATGTATTGTAATATAGCCATCAAAAGTACTGATGGCAATCAAAAATGGTTCCACATTAAAAACATTATATAAATGGGTGCACTAGCTTAGGTAATAGAATACCAGAAAAAGAGGAATAATATATATTCCTATTAAAATAATGCTTTGGCCTAGGGAGAGTTACTAGGCTAAAGCTCTAGGTGTACATAGTCTCTGGCTGTACCTAGTATTCTAGGCAATGCATTTCCTAGGTACACCTACTGGAATTAGGCTAAATACTACCACTACGGCTCAAGACAGACCGGAACTGGTATAGACAGTCTTGAGGCTTCAGCTCTTTCAACCACGGCAGACTGATGCATGTTCCTTCAATGTCTGGGCGTACATAGGGAGACAAGGGGCATATTGGGTAAAGTGGAGCTAAGCCAGATATCGTCCGGTGGCGCCATTATTGCCTGCATTGCTGCGCGTAGTGCATGAGTACCATCGAGTCCTAATGTCTGGCTGAGGAGCATATAGCGTAAAAGCTTTTAGTGGATAGGGGGCATGGAAGAGTTGTAGTAAGAGGCTGTGAGACGGAAGATATACTTTGCTTTTGAGGCTGGCCAACCTCAGTCACGTTATCATATCATGGCTGGCTAGAAAATTGGGATTTCCCTCACAATTTTTGTCAAGTGGAGCTCAAATTTTGAAATTATTTGTATAAATTGTGTTTAGAATTTGGGAAAACTCTGCTGCTGATAATCTCTAAACAAGAAGAAAGATGAAAAGTTAAGAGCATTAATTCATGTGATGCTGGTTGGTTGGCCCCTACTAACTTGTAATCTTTTTGGTGATAATTCTTTTTTAGTATATAGCCATGTATTTCTTAGGCTTGGTCCAA